TGTGCATGCTCCTATCCTCTCAAACTGTGGCTTACTCAACAGATGGCCTTTTCAAGCACACTCGGCTCTGGGCTACGCTTCTCAGTCCAAGAACACATTCACACAAACACACAAGCACGCATTTTAGGTTTTCATGCTTTTGGGGACGTTGACCTGCATTCATTTCCTGGAGACTGATCCTAACCATAAAGACGCACTGTGCAACTTTTCTGGTGGGGGGTCTGACACCTGCTTGTCTGCATAGAGATGTAACAGTAATGTTTATCTGTCGCTATGGAGACAAGCAGGTAATAAGACCAGGGCAAGATACAGGTCAGATCTGAATGAATGCATGTTTTTCAGTTTATTTCTTATATTAATAAAAAACAATTATAATTAAATGCAGGCTAGATAAATTAAATGTCATACCATTGAGTATTTCAGGCAAAGCAAGAACATCTTCATGGAGAAATATCACCAAAAAAAAGTTATATACTGGAGCTTTAACAGTGATTTGCCTAACCTAAACCGAGGCCTTAACCTAAATAGCCCATATCCTAACACTGAACCATGTTGTTGATCTAATCTTGAATGACTGAGCTCATGGGGACTGGGTTTTTGGTTCCCACAAAGCCAAAGGTTCTCATGAGGTGACTATGTATAGTACAGATTTTAGCCCGCACGATGTGATGAATATCTACCCACACATACAAGCACACACGCACACATGCTCACATGCGCACACACACACACACACACACGCACACATGCTCACACGCACACATACACACACGCACACACATAGCACTAGAGCCTCCTGCATGTAGAGCAGTGCCAGGGCAGTTGCATAATGAATCATTTGAGACAGACCACATTCATTACAAACAGAAATATGGCTTTTAGGAAATTCATCCTTTCAAATGTTTAATGGTCGGTCATACTGTTTGGAGCCAGTGGAACAGTGTAGGAGTCTTTGTGGATTAGTCTGTGTGTCTCTATGACTTATAGTCAAAATTAATAGTTGCTTAGCTGGAGTTATAGTTTTGGGCTACTCATTTTGTAAATTTTGTGAGGAATGCTTGTTTTTTGCACTGTGTAATGTTACTCCTGGTGGCCATATTGTTCTAGCCTGATTCATCAGCCGGTTTCACTTCATGGAAACCGTCTGACCTTGCAGCATTTCTTACGTTAGGATTCTTTCGCTCGATGGTAGACGGGTACTTTTTAAAATTTAACCAATCGCTGCTATTTGGTCGTGACGTATGTAATGCGCCGCTAACTGGGCTAACTGGTATATTAAGTTTTTCCCAAAGCCCGTAGGAAGAAGGACAATAACTTTCCCCTTTGCCTAAATTCACCAAACATTGTCTTTGTTCCGTCTTTTAATCTTCAATCTTGGGAATTGTTGCCAACACAGAATGTATGGCTCTTCGCTGATGCCCGGACTTGCACTTCCAGGGTTCTGGGATTCCTGCCCTATTAGCTGGAGAGAAATGAAACTGAGTGAAGGCACTAGGTGGCACCAGCCTGACTTGTATTGTTCTGCCTGGTAACTTCAATGTCATACTGTGGAACATTTCAGACCATTAAAATTTTCCACGGACACAAGCAATAGCAAGGCTGTTGGATTAATATCAGTTAAATGATGCTCTCTTTCTCTTTTTCAAATTCATCCATGTTATTGCAGGGAGATATTGGTTATTATAACATTTAACTGAGAATATGTGAAGTTATTAAGAGCATGCAAAATTAATATCTGGAGCTGTTGTGTTGGGCTACTCATTTTGCACATTTTTTGAGGAAATCCATGTTTTTAAAGGTGCACTATGTAACCTTTCTGCTGGTGACCCTATTATTTTGCCTGATAATTTTAATGCCATACTGTGGAACCTCTCAAAGCAGGTGCTCTCCTTCTCTTTTTCAAATTCATTCATGTTACTGCAAGGACATTGTGGTTATTATACCATTTAACTGAGAATATGTGATAAATGAATTAAATGTCTGTGTAATCCCTCGGTTGTTCAGGTAGGATCCATAGCAAAAGAAACATTGAATTCTGTACCTGAATTGAGCTGTGAAATGCCTTCACTCAAAAAACAATAACATTTGTCCAGTTGACAGAAATGAATTTTTCTTTTGCTAAATTATGAAGAGCATTTAGTCTCTCCTTTTTAATAGCACTTCTAACCCATCTCCTCTGTCAGACACTTCCAGAGATCTGCCTTCCTGTAGTCGAGTCAGCAGCTCGAGAGGATGTCTGTTTTTGGCAGTTTTGCATGAAAGGATTTTGCCAATTAGGACACATTTAGTTTGAAACCACAATGTTTTTATTATACGGTTACACTGAAGTAAAGGAGCCACAGCCTTTAGTAAAATAAAGACCACATTTTACTGTAATTATGGGTGTACCAATAAATCGTGCCACAGTGTTTCATGAAGCAGAAATGTGACAAAATGCATTGTGCAAGTGTCAATGTGAAATTCAGAGATGTGTCTTTAACAGGCACCACAGCCAGTCATCCATTTCAGACCAAATGGCATTCTTTCTGTACAGAGAAACAGTCTTTATGAAAGCACTTTTAAAACTGATTTGAATATAACACGAATATAATTTATCACTTCGATAGTAGTAGTTTTATTTGGTCATTTTGCAGCACTACAAAACAAAACAAAGCAAAACTAAACATAGACTACAAAACCACAGATCATGACCGAAAGGGTTTAGGCTGAAGTAAAATGTACTTATAATGCTTAACCCTTTCAAACAATGACAGAATTCCAAGAAAGAAAGGCATCGTATGAACAGCAAGTTTGCATTTACAATTTCACTTGTGGCATACTGTGTATATATAAAAGACAAAATATAAATTAAAACAAAGTGTAATCCATAAGTCATTCATTCCTATGCTCTACATCTTTCAAAACATAATGCTTTATACTCTTTTTAAGCTTCTTCTGTTAGACTTTTTTTTAAGTCATCACTCATATTGTTCCATATACTAACCCCTCTAACGGAAATACAATCACTTTTTTTTTTTTAGATCTTCTGTTAATTTTTTAATGATGCCAGTTTTGTTTTCGTTTATGGTCGTACAAACTAACAATAATGAGAAAGAAGGCACAAAATTCATCACCCATGATTGTCTCAAAACAAAATGCAATGCCAAAGAAATGCATGTGTCCAACTAATGAAATATTGCCTTGTGAAGGCAATATTTCTAGTCTTCTCTGTATTTATGTAAGATTTGATTTTTATATTGTTTTTTGAAGTGCACCAAATTAGTACAAGCTTTGATATGGTCATATAAACTATTCCATAAGTCTACTCCACATCTGGTAACACACATGCTTTTGAGAGTGGTTGAGAGAATTGTTTTTTAAAATTCATTTGACCTCTCAGGTTGTATTTGAATTCATTTGTGCGAAACTGTTTTTTTTTAATATACCAGGTCCCCAAATTTCAGCATCTTTGATTGGCAAAAAAGTGCATGTGTATATTCTCTATATCCGACTAAGTGAGCGATTCATATAATTTTTTTTGAACAATACGTCTGTCTTACTTTTATAAGAATCTCCCCAGACCTCTACACAGTAACTTAAATAGGGTAAGATAAGAGTATGGCAGATTGTATATAGGGCTAGGAGATATTTAGATTTGTTCATCAAGGCTAAATAAAATGCTTAAATGCTTCAAAACTGTAGTTAAATAATCTGTTTTTAAAAATGTCTTTGAAATCCATTAATTTCCAAATGTTTCAGTTTGATTCTTACTTAACTAGGAGCCTTAAATATAGTAATAAATACAGTTTAGGCCTACCATGTGCTACAAAACTGATACAATGAGATAATACTATAAAGAGATCATTTAAATCCCAATTTGTAACTTAAAGGCCCAGCAGGATAATGTTCTGAAGTTTTAACTGTATCATGCAGGTGATGGGACGTGAGAAAGTTACATAGTGCACTTTAAATTAAACTTAAATTGAACTCAAGATGACTTTGTGCTACTGCTGGTGGAGGAAAAGCGGTTGTATTCTCTCTTTGGAATCCACATAAGCCCAAAACAGTAACCCCAGGAGGACTACCATCTATAAATATATCTATCCTCTATCTTTCGTCCTCCATTTCTCTTCTCTTTTATCTCTCTCTCTTTCCCTCTCTCTCTCTTTCTCTCTCTCTCTTTCTCCTACATCTGTTTTTGCTCTGGGGCAGGTTCACGCAGGGTTCCTCCATTCTCACCTGTCACCTGGAGGTTTTATTTAGACGTTTTGCTGCAAGCTGCTCACATTAAGACCATTTGAACCGTGTTGTCCTGTAACCAGTCCTGACACTCATTATACACTCTCCTGTGCTGTGGAGCTACCATGAAGCGCTGTGTTCACTCTGATTTTAGCTCTCATTAATCTACATTATTTCTTTTCTCGCCCTTTGCTATCTCTCTATATCTGCCTTTCCCTTTGTTGAAAGTTAAATAGTTCAGTTGGTTTGTTCTGTACATTCAAGTGAATATACATTGTGTTAAAGTTGTTGCAGCGTTAGTTTCACATGGTTCAGAATCTAAAAAGAAGTGCAGCTAAAATTGTATAGGTCATAATGACTTCGCTATTCTTTGTCACGTATATGTTTAAGCAGCACATATAGCTAAAATTATTTAATTGCGCAAAATCATGTATGAAAGTTGGTTAAAATTTTTGAAAAGAAAAAAAAACTATTATTCCTATTACAAAATTACACTGCACACAGAAATAGACTTGTTGAGTGAAGTAATAGCACTTAAAAGGAGGATTTATTGATTTATTTTACAAGACCACATACATTTTCTTTGACAAAATAAAATAAAACAACCAAACCTTTGTTGTTTCTTTCTGTGAATCACCAAAATCTCAGACAGCAGCAAACTTACAGCGCAAACATAAACATTTATCTCCCCTTTATCATACTTCTTAGTAAAACCTTGCATTGACTCTTAACGTCTGTGTGCTGTTCTCTCTCTTTTGCGCCCCCTGGTGGTGTCTCATCAGGAAGCCCCGGCCGGTGTCCCAGCTCGTCACGCAGCAGCAGGTCACACAGCAGTTTGTGTTGCCGTCGCAGCCAAAGAAAGAAAAGAAGGAGCGAGTGGAGAGAGAAAAAGGCGACCGAGAGCCAGCACTGAAAAAGAACAGTCACAAGAAGATGAGGTGAATCCCTTACACATCTGCTCACTGATTTTTAATACAATGCTTTTATCTTTAGGAATTTTTTAACGTTGTAAATGCTTTCATGTATTTACGATAATACATGGAAAAATAGGTCCAAGTAGAATTTCTATGACAAACTTTATTGATCCACAAGGGAGACTATTTAAAAAAATGACAAAATGCACTGATTGGATAATTTAACAAAGTTATTGCCCTTGTTGATCAATGAAGTTTGTCTAATGCTGGGTGTACACTATGCGATATTTTCAATCATTTCACTCAGCCCCAGCTCAAACTGTACAACCAAATTGCAGTGTTTAAAAGTTCACAGCCCACGATTCATGTTCTCACACTATAAGAATTACTTCAACAGTGTGAAACCCTCACGAGAAGTGGCTGGATTTTAAACAGGTTTGATATTCTTGCGACCGACGATTGCCAATCAGGAGCTGGTCGTGAGGTATTAATCGGTTCTCCTTACCCCATGTATACTACACCAAGCACGACACATTATTAAGCCAAAGCTCGGCTCAATCCCAAAAACAGTGGCACGAGTGAAAAATCGTCTCAAAAATTGCACAGTATACGTCTGGCTTAAGTCTAAGAACTTCTTCAGTAACTTTATTGATCATCTTGGAATTTGAATTTTGTATGGTTGTAAATTAAGGATTGTCCAGTATGGATTTTTGAGCCAGTATTCAATGTTTGTTAAGCTATTGTGGCCAGTACCCAATATTTGCCAATATCAATATTAAGATTAAAAAGAACGATATTGGAGTGCTGCACTGGATCAAAACTTACACATACAGGTGCTCATCAGATCAGAGGGCTTAAATTATTGTTGAGTAGAAAGAAGTTGGCAGATGGCTTCAGCCCTGATGAAGACTCAAAAGTAGTTGGCGTGACCATTAATAAATACACCACAAATCAGTGTGCCTCTGCCATCTTCAGTATACTTATCAATATTAAGATACTAAACAAACGACTGTTAGTTTATAGTAAAGTTGTCTAATTAACGTATAACTTTGCAAATACATTTTTGATCTGGGCTACACATTAATTAATTGCATGACTATCCAAACATACGGCCACCTTTTTATCCTAATTGCTCTTTTACTTCCATTTTTAGTCATTCATCTTTTCCAAAGATAAATCTGATACACTGAGGACAAACTCAGAATGGCCAATGGGCACACAGAAACTGGGGCAACTTTGAAAAAAATACTGGTGCCAAATATGGGCTACATTTTAGATATCAGATAGATACTGATATGTCACTGAACTTCTACAACAATTACCTTTACCTGACCTCTTCTGTTTATTATCTCAGGCCCAGGTTAAAAAACATCGACCGGAGCAGCGCGCAGCATTTGGAGGTGACTGTTGGGGACCTGACTGTCATCATCACAGACTTTAAGGAGAAGGCCAAACCCGCCTCCACCCCCGCCTCCTCTACCTCCTCTTCCTCCTCTAGTGCGGGCGCATCCTCGGACCACCTCAGCCAGAACGGCAACAGCTCGGAAAACACGGAGAGGGGCCTATCGCGCTCCTCATCGCCCCGCGGAGAGGGCAGCTCAGTCAACGGGGAGTCCCACTGAGTAAACCAACATACAACCAGCCCGTACTAACTATCGGAAATCCTTCAAAACATCTACAGACTACTGCTGGAGCATACTACTACTACTCCGCTACAACACATGGATTATTTTGGATATTTTGGCTTCGAGAACAACAATAGTACTTTTTTGTCACTGCCCTACAAGCAATATTTAACACTTTAGCCCTGAAAACATTGAAAATGTATGTTAAAGGGATCCTACTCTACCAAGCTTGCCATTGGAACATCGGAGGTAGATTGCAAACCTATTTCAGGACGAGGTTGAACTTTTGAACTTGAGGATGTCTTGACAGTTTGCGAACGCGATTCAGTCACACCTGTATTTCTGCACTTCAAGGTTTTTGACATTTAATTTTGAAATGCCAAATGTGCAGCTTTGAACCAGCTATGATCGACCTTTATGGAAACTCACTTTGGAGTTGTCAATCGCTGTCCTGTTACATCCTGTCCCCAAACGCATTTTTTCCTCATATACCGAAAAATCAATATGTGTGGACTATATTCATCATAAACTGTTTTACTCTTGACTGCCTCTACTGTAGATTTCTGAGTGACTGTTAAAGCTCTAAATACATTATCAATTGTGTACAGTACAATTTGATTTAACCAGGGGATGTTTTATGGGGAATCTTGTAATTGTCTATTAAATTAGTCTCGAAAATTTTCAATATTTCAAATTGCATTTTTGGTTTGCTTGCATCAACAGGATGACTTTAAATCTTATATAATTTGCAATTCAGAAACTTGGTTAATTTACTAAAGGCTTTTGGCGTGTCTCTGCATTGGTAAGATATGAAAGCCACAAAATAATGATAAAGATATTAAAAAATCTGCTAAATTGACAGAAATTCAATCAATTTTCCCCTCTGTCAGTCATTTTTCATATAAGCGATTTTAGCTGCGTATGAGGCTTGCAGCTACATTGGAAAACTGCTGAGTCCGCACTCCGTACTCAGAGCCAAGTGGACGCCATTTTAAATTTGTCAACTCTAGGAAACCATTTTTTTTTTTTTTTCTTTAAATATCTCTCATGCCCATGATGTATTGTACAGGCTTGCAAAGTTGTGGACTTCAGGAACTCACATTTTATGCAGACACATGTAGGATTTATTACCAGGAATACTATGACTATAGATGAGACTAACTACATTTTAGGTTAAATACTGATATTTCAAAGATCTGTTGTTTTGATGTGGTCATACCAGTGTTTCTGTCTGAATTTGACATTATCATTTAGCACACCTTAAGCAGAAGTGTTGTGGCATGATTTGGTCTCAATATATTGTGAGACAAACTGTGTTCCATAGTTTGTTAGTTTTGTTTTTTGTCAAAGCTCTTATAGGTTCACTACACTAGCTGGGACTAGATGTTTGGGCTTGTGAGAACCACGAGGATTTTTTTTTCTATATTTGGTTGTTGCAAAAATGGAAAAGACACTCTAATGGGTCACTTTTTGCTCTGCCATGCTCAATTGTTTTAAATTGTGGATTTGTTTATTACATGTCTGAATAAGAAAATAACAAAATTTACTTAAAATCTGGTGCCTCTGTTTGTATTGTTTTTGTTAGTATAGCAGCCGTATCACCTCGAAAATTTCCGATCTCATGTTATCTCAGAAGCTAATGCTTAGTTACTACTGGAATGAGAGAATACCAGGTGCCACAGTGGGACGGTAGTCGTTCAAGAGCCAATTCGCTTAGGTCAGTCTACTCCCAGGGCAGCTGTAGCTACAGTAGTGTCTTAACACAGCAGCTGTGGAGTGAATGAAAAAAGCAATGTAAAGCGTAATTATTATTATTAAGAGTGGGATCAAATTGAATATTATGTGTAGTGTTGGAATGTAACTGAATACAAGTACAAAGAATACATATTCAGCATACTGTTTTTTAGTTCCTGAATTCTGGTACAGTAACTTTTTTATTTGCTGGTATTCAGAGTAGAGTTACTTTTCTAATCAAAGGAATACATTACGGTGATCATGTAATTAAGGCTTCAAATGGTTCATAATCAGTGAAACGAATAGAAAACTCTGCTCTTGTGGTGACTGCATGTGAGATTTTTCCATCTGCATTTAGTGATAGGAAGTGCTTTAAAAACAGTGAACCAAACATAATGCTCTTTTTAATACTATGTTGCATCTTAACACTATAATTTAATAAATATTCCAAGTATTTAGAATACAGTACTCTGGTTGCACTGTATCAGAATACATTACTAAATCCATTTTATTGCAGGTATTCAGTATTTTGTAACTAAATACATTTTCAAAGTATGCTTCCCATCACTGGCTATGCGTTGTAGAATAAATTGAAGTTATCCCCAAGAGTTGAAAATGAAATGCGGGAGAAGTTTATTTACAATCAGTGCGGGTTCCGGGACCCGGAGACATGAACCCCCAAGACACTGAGATAATATTGTGCATTCCAGTTTAGTCCAGCACAGTTAAAGTCTAGTCACCGCGGTGCCATTTCTCTGTCAGCCAGGGGATGTTCTGGTCTGGTGATACAAATAGTCTTCATTATGTGATAATCATGTGTTTCAACAGTGAAGTTCAATACACACCAATAGCTATAAATATACTCTACTCCAGTTTCGGCCTGTTTGCATCAAGAAGGGCATACAGCTTTAAAAATCTGTCAAGTCATGAATCAGAAACAGTACCGCTGCCCTAACTAATCACTATTACTTATTACTCAAGATGCTTCAACTATTGGTGTGACTACTACTATTACGACAACTGAGGCTGTAGATAAGTAAAATCACGGTGAAGAAACAAAACACAATCTAGCAATGTTTTTGGGGAGGTAACAATATTCTAACATGCCTTAAAGCTCAAAAGAGTCCATTTTGTGTAATATAAGACCATTAATTACTTATTGAAATACTAGGCCTGACCATTTTCATCCACTCTTGAATGAATGATACTTTGCACCTCTGAACTGGCCTATACAAAATCGGCCCTCTCTTTGATCATATGCATGAATTGAATATATTTTACTCTAAAAGTCTTTTGTCAGGCAGATGAGTATTGTGCAGTGACTTGTTGCTCCATCTGGTGAAATTATACAATAAGCACTTCCTTTCTGGCCCATAACACGGGGGTCAGAGGTCATACACGGATTATGTTAATATGACGCTTCACTGGTTTGCATTCATCACAAATACCCATGCATCAGTGTAGCAGCGAGACGCTTTTCAGTATTCTGAGCGCATCCTACAGTTTTATTAGTCAGCAGCTCTCCCACAGACAAAGTTAATGAAATTGCAATTGACTTTGACGTTGTTTTTTCTTCGCCAGCACTTCAGTAAAAACGAGCAGTCCTTTAAAGTACTGAAAGGCTCTTTTCAGAGGTGAAACCAATTGAAAGTTGCTGGGACTCGGGGGGAGGGAGAGTGGGGAAACAACTTTGCTGATCGCTCCCACCCTTCCCCCAAGAGAGGTCCCGACCTCTGCTGCGGGGAACGCTGCGTCAAGTGTGCGGCACGGAGCAGAGGCGAGGACAGGAAACGACAGGGGATTTCAACATAAAACAGACCTTATAGGACCTAAAGAAAGCATTGGGCTTGCCTCTAAATGATTATTCCAAGTACTGAAATAAAATAAGTAGAGAAATAAAGATATAGTCAAGCCATGAATATCAATCAACCTTTATTGTAACAGTGCAACATTCCGACTGATTCAGTGATTTATAAAGATGAAATAGACTAAACAACATAACCATCAATATGTGACAGTATAGCCCATAGCCTCGTGGTAAAATGTTATTATTGCTGTACACTTGTATTTTTAAATAATAAATATTTTGTGCCTATATATTTTATGCACTATATTCTAAACTTTGGAGACTCTTGTTGGTGCATGAAGCAAGAAAGATGATGTTTTGCTATTTACTTAAACTTGACCAAATTGCAAATGCATTTTGACAACGTGCATTAAAAACAGAAACCGCATACACAAGAGAAATATTTTTTGTCATTTCATTTTAGGCCTGTAGAGTCTACAATTGTCCACAAGAGGGCGTATTCACTCACACTTTTTTTCCGCTGGTGGTTTTACTTTGTAGCATTTCCCTCCGGAAGCTCCAGTTGTCGCGTGAATGCCACAGTCAGTCAGCAGCAGTGCAGCAAATGTCTGTGTCATGATCCAATCTCAGAGTAGTGCCTTTAAACTCAATGATGCGGCGTTACCTCCGTGCACTTCTGCTGTGCATGGTGTTTGCCGTGTTTTCGGGTTTTTATTTCTACTCTAAGCTGTTTTACTCGGACACTTTGGAGAGAGGCGTCGGGACTAAGCGGATTTTCGTTCCTCCGAGAGAACCTGGAACGAGACAAGGGGCCGCGGACAAAACTGGGACCCAAACGCACTGGTACAATAGGTGAGACAGGATTTACAGGTCCTACTGGGTCTGTCGGGGCGTAGTAACAAGGATACATGTTCTTTTATTTTGATATAATTAATGTAAAGTGCACCCGTCCATGCATCGGAATGTGTATTGATCGCGTATGACGCTGTGTTTGAAGTTAGATGCGTCACGTGACCGCATTCAACACGAGGCTGTGATGTGGGCTGCAGTAGTAGCCCACATCACAGCCTTTTTGTATTCCACGTTTGTAAAGTTTAGAGAGTATAGAGGTTTGTAAACAATTTTATTGACACAGCTGACTATTCATGGCATTTATGCCATACCAGCTTCTCAAAGCCTGATCCTGTCAGAGCTCAGAAGCTCAGCAGGGCCTGGTTAGTACTTGGGAAAGTCAGGTGCCACCATGGGGCGCCTGTTACAAAAACTGTCGTTGTGCCCTTAGGCACTTCACCCACATTGCCTAGTATGAAAGTGGTGTGTGCGTAAGAAATGGTGGTGGTCGGAGGGGCTGATGGTGCAGATTGGCAGCATCACTTCTGTCAGTCTGCCTCAGGGCAGCTGTTGCTATAAATTGTAGCTTGCCACCACCAGACATGGAGTGAATCAATAATGCTCTGTAAAGCGTTTTTGAGTGTAAAGAAAAGCGCTATATAAAAGCAATGCATTATTATTATTATTACAGGGTTTCCACTGTCATAGAAATCCTGGAAATGTCATGGAAATTGAAAGTGTAATTTTCCAGGCCTGGAAAAGTCATGAAATTTTTGTATCTCTTTTAAGCAACTACAGCATTCTGTTAAGTTATCATTAGACTCTTATGATTATTTCTGAACTTATGTGCCTTTTGTTTAAAAGAGATGACAATAAATGCACTGACAGTATTTTGAATGTTGAACAACTGTCGTGCCAAACCATAAGGTGAGTGGAAAGGGTTAACATTTTATATTTAGCCCTAAAAGTATGATCAATTCTACACATGTAGGGTGCCATAAAGTCAATAAAATTCACTTTACGTCATGAAAAAGTCATGGAAAAGTTTTGAAATTTTGTCTGTGAAAAAGAGTGGGAACTCTGTTATTACTGTGTAACTTCTCATCACCTGCTTGTCTCCAGGGGGGTGTAAAAGTAGCAAGTAATCTATGAAGAAATCTCTAGAATGTACTGCAGTGTAGCATTAAACTAACTCTCTAACTTCACAGAGACATGGAGTTGATACCACCAAGACAGGCTGCAGGTCAAATCTGTGGAGAGGAGACACTGCTCACAGTAGGAAAGAATGTTATCAAGAAATTTATCTAGCAATAAAGCCACCTGTATGTGAATACAAGCCAGATAGATTAGTGATGCATTTCAGACAAAGCAATGGCATCACCCTGGAGACAAGCAAGTGGCTAAATAGTTACATCATGCACCTTTAAGTAAAGTCCTTTATCAGGCAGTTCATCCTTGTACTTTGTAAGAACTGTGCACGTATAATTCAGGTTTGCCCTTGGCACCTTGTCCTGTTTGTGTATGCAGAAAGATTATCTATAAGGGCAACACGTCAGTTGTAAATTCCACACATCAGTTGTATTTTTACACACACCATGAGCTTGTGTGGGAGTGTTTTTAGGGGAACTGGTTTTGTGTGTGGTTCAGTTATTGTACTAGTTTATACTTGTCGTTTACACTTCTCCTTTCCCTCAGGTACATAATGCGACAGCAGAGCCAGGCAGACTCTACAGGGGAGCCTCCCATGCACCTGGCTGTGGTGGCCTGTGGAAGCAGACAGGAGGAGACTCTGACAATGGTCAAATCAGCTGTTCTCTTCAGCATTAAACAGCTGTGTGTGCACATCTTTGCTGAAGATCAACTTCATGCAAGTTTTATGGAGACTGTAAGTGGCATAAGTTTGAAATTAGTTATGTAAAATATTGTAATCACTCTGACATTGAAATTTTAATTGTTAGGCAAGAGTATTTTTTGGTATCTTTTAACAATCTTATTTTGTGATTGCGCTTCAATTTTACTGCTTATTTAGAGGAAGGAAATTTGTTTATGCAGTACACTTGCACAATACACTTGTCACTGTTTTGATGATTAAACAGGATGTATTTCATATAAGTTTGCACAAGTAGTGGTTGAATAAAAAGAAACAGATACAAAAAATGCAATATGACAGAGTATCATGTTCAATATATCAACCATCGCATTTATATTCTGATAATATCGTACCTTGAGTCATGTATCGAGTATTGAATTCTGATTTGTGTAATCATGCTTAAATTTTTCATGTATGGGATTCTTCTGTTGGTTTAATTAATATGTTCAGTTTTTGTGCTTTTGTGTGTTTACCTTGTGCACTGTGAATTAAGTTGATTTCAAAACATGAATTGCAAATCTTATTGCAAGAAAATCTGCAGTCCTAAATAGTATTCCATAAATTAACAACTAAATGAGATCTGATTTCTGTTTCAGTTGGAATCGTGGCCTGACTCCGTTCGAACACGATTCAACTACACACTGTACTCAATCAGTTTTCCCAGCGAGAACGCTGCAGAGTGGAAAAAGCTGTTTAAGCCCTGTGCTTCCCAGCGCCTCTTCCTTCCTGTGAGTATTTTATAGGATTAAAAAGTTTGAGTTCAACGTTCATTAAAATATGTGAGTTTCCTGTGCACCTACTTGCTTCCTCTCATTATGTATTTTTGGCATTATGTGGACACAATAGTTGCTTTGATAAAACTTTTTTTTTTTTTTTTGTTAAATTTTTTTTAAATATTAGAACTCTTTCTAATAAAGTAGACATTGATAGATTGCAAATGTCACTGACCTGTAAGCATAAAGTCTAGTACGTGCATCATATCGAAGCACACACAGACACAACTATCAGTAAAAAACGTATCTAGGCCAGTGTCTCTCAAACCTTTCTCACAAAATACCACATACAAAATTTATTTGGCTTTCTGAATACGACCAGATCTACACTGGGTCTTTAATATTTAATAACCATGTCATAAATTGGACTACAATATTGCAGTAGTAGGTAGTTTTAGTAAGTAGTTTTTTTAACCAAGAAGCTTCTAAAGGAGGAACAAAACGTGAATAAAATTTACTCTAAATTAACTAAATATTAATATTGCAGAGGACCTTGTATACCACCAGAAGGAGCTCACGCACCACAGTTTGTGAAATACTGATCCAGGGTTTATGTGTCAAGAAAATAAATTCTAAAACATAGTGTAGTAAATTCAAAAGAGATCTTCATCAATCCAAATGTAATTTATGGTTCACCACTTGCATACATTATATTTATGCAAATATTAATTTTGACTTGAACAAACTTTATTGATCCACAAGGGAAATTATTTTGACACAGTAACTCAAACATGATAATATATTATAATATCAAAGGACAAAATACTATAAATGGTAATAATACATTAGGAAAATAAGTAGAGACTGTTTTCAGTTTAGGCACATTATATAAATCTATATATTAACACAACTCTCAACTTTGTGTCTTGCAGCTGATTTTAAAGAGGGTGGACTCGGTGGTGTATGTGGACTCGGACATCCTCTTCCTGCAGCCCATGGACAGACTGTGGTCCTTCCTGTCTCACTTTAACTCCTCCCAGTTGGCAGCGATGGCCCCAGAGCACGAGGAGCCACGTATCGCCTGGTACAACCGCTTCGCCCGCCACCCCTACTACGGGCGCACGGGCATCAACTCCGGCGTGATGCTCATGAACATGACCAGGATGAGGAACGCTTTCTTTAAGGTATTTGCTCTACTTCAGTTTCATTTAGGGGATGCACTGGTATCGAATGTCGGCGTGATACTGAAAAAATTTGCTGGATCAGATTTGAGTATGGGTTCAGCTAATATCCTAGTTGGACAAATAAACTGATTTAATCTCATAATGTTTTATACTTTTATTTACACAGAGTTGTTATTTAAGATATACATCATAGCTCCATAACACATTTGGATCAGTTTTGTCTTATTTTATCTTTGTATAATGAAAATAAATGCTCTTTTAAATCTCTAATTTGGTATCGGTTAATACTGGGAATTGGCAGATACTTAAAGCTATAGTGTCAAAATCATTATCGGAACTGAAAAAATAGAATTGTTGCATCCCCAGTGTTGTTGTTGTCATGTTGTTGTATTTTTCTAACTGACCACAAGGGGTCCTCCTTCTCCCACATCTATTCTCACACTGGTTTAAGCTCCTGAAAATCCCACTGTCCACGTCATCTATTCACACCAGTCTTTTGTCTAACTTTGTGTTTGCAGAATGACATGACTTCTGTGGGGCTACGGTGGGAGGAGCTTTTGATGCCTCTTCTTCAAAAATATAAACTGAACATCACATGGGGAGACCAGGATCTGCTTAATATCATCTTTCATTACAATCCCGGTAAGAACTTTGTTTAATGTAAATGCACAATACATAAAAACATATCTATTAGGCCCAACATGTAGGGTATATTATGTTAAGATAACTGTTTGTAACTTTTATCCAGTGATTGGTAAAAAGAAATAGTCTGTCCATCAAGTGGTCATGATAGATATTAGTGCTACAATCAATGTCTCTATTATACTGAAGCTCCAAGTTTAGACCTCTACAATGCTTATGTTTTGGCTGATGAATTTTAAAAATTACACAAATTCCCAAAATTCCTTTACCTCTCCTTTGTGCAGAGTTCATGCTGGAGTTCCCTTGTCAGTGGAACTATCGCCCCGACCACTGCATCTACGGCAGCAACTGTGCCTCGGCCGAAGAGGAAGGCGTTTATATTCTCCACGGAAACAGAGGAGTGTTCCACGATGGGAAACAACCGGCTTTCAGAGCAGTCTACGAGGCCATACAAAAGGTGGGCCCATGTATGGAGTTTAAAAACACTGTGGAGCACTAGCACACTGTGGAGTATTGTCACACGACATCACAAGGTGGGATAAAGTGTTTTCCATTTGAGAAAACTTCAGTTAACGTTTACAAACTGTTCATTTTTATTGTGAAGACAGTATGGTTCAGGTTAAATTTGACCCAGACCAGGAATTCCCACATAGTAAGTGTCTATGAGTGTCAAATTTTGAACTACATATCTATTTAGAATGATTAAATAAACTATCCCACATAAATATCTTTCAAAGAGCAGGAAGACCATATTTTCTTGTTCTTCTTTTTCATGTATAAGACAATGGTGGTGTCCTAAGTGAAAAACTTAGAAGAAACTTAGAAGAAAAGACCTCTCTCCCCCTTGATTGACTTCTGTTCCTTATGTGCACCATAAACAGGATGATCACTCTTTCACTGTTTTGAGATTCCCTTTTGCCCCTTCAAAAACCAACAGATGAGTAAATCTGGGAACCTGAGGCATGAGGGAGTCTCAAAACAGTGAACTCTTGACCTCTGTCAACACTGTGCCATAAAAAATAGACACAAACATAGTCTGAACAGTTTCACAGTTTCAAGATTCCCTAAAACTTCCATTTTCCTTCATTTGATTTGCACTGATAGATCTAAAATCCATCTCAATAGGGTTAGACCCAAACCAGCCTCAATGTCCAAAAATTTGTAGCCCCTGTACAAAACTATAAAATTTCAAAATATTTTCATTTTTGTGTATTTTGGCAAATTTTAAAGAGTGATGCTTAGGGTATTTTTACTACTCTCAAATGTCAAAACAGGTTCAATTTGACCCAACTAATATGTAAAGGTTAAATATGCAGGGTTTGTGCATCAAATATGTTTGAATGAAACAAAACTCCAGGTAGGTTTTTGCTGAGGAAACAACTTTTTGACAAATAGCGTAAGATAGGCTCAGTATAGGCGTAATATAGGCTTCACTCCTGTAAGAAAGGAGTACAGTTCCATCTTTGTGTTGAAGTGTTAAAATAAAAGGTAATGTATTTAATTTGGTTGTGAGCCCTAAGTTTTAAGGCCAGTTGCAGATACCCTGTTAAAAAAGTGCAAATAAAAGCGTGACATATCTGCCAGCCAATAAAGTAAAAATTTTCTATCTCTAGTAATTGCCTGACTGATTCAAGTGTGTAGTTGGAGTTGAATGAGAGATCTGATTGGAAGAGACCTTTCCTAACCCAGTGACCCACCTGTTCCCCACCAATCGGTTGTTTCCGTAACCTTGGTGATGAGATCTTGGATTGTGTCCGACCCGGGGGACCCTGTCTGTACACACTGTAGTCCACCTTTTGCACTAAGCCAGAGGCAAAGCTAATTTCTCCTGAGGATGTTTATGGTTGTTTACCACAAGTGTAATGATATTGACGGTCTGACTGGCATTTACTTAATGAAGCCATCACTGTTGAAAGTCTCATTGCTTTCTCTATTAACAAAACATCGGACATAGATCAGTCCAGCGGTTGATCCATGGCTCGCAGTTAAGCAGCTTTATAGAGTGTGATCAATATAGCAGTTTACGGTCAAATGAAACTGTACCATATACACACAACACAGCATAACACATGGATTTTTCAATAGGCAATTTAGGTAGAGATGTGTCAAATGCTATAGATCTGCTGTATGTGTGTTTAATCTAATAGGAAGAGACCATTTCATCAATTTTTGCTTGTTCATCTGTGTAAAGATCCTTGGGCTATAATTGAGCATTTGAACAACTTCCTTACAATACTTTTGCTCTAAGAATCACGGACCAAACTGCTTCAAAAAGTACTTAAAAATAGAAAAACGAAAGATGATAACAACTTTAAAAAGTGCAGTTTCTTGAAAATATTGCTGATTAACTAGCCATGGAAATTGTGGGTTCCATTGCCTTTGAGTGCATAAATGCATAAAAACTTGTTTATCAGAAATCTCCTGTTTTCCACGCTGAATAATAGTTCAGTGTTGTAGCCTGCAGCCCTTATATGTCATGCTCCGTGATAATAACTTCTGGGGGAGAGATGAACCAGTGAGTAGTGCTCCTTTCTGAAAATGTTGGATAAACTGACCAAAATTAATTTAATGAATTATGAAGCTACATTTGTCATTAAGTAATACATTCATTAGAAAAATTAGGCCCATGTTTATTAAAGGTACCTGATTTTCCCATGTATTCGAGTAAAATTTGTATTGTACCAGCAGTTCTTGAGGTAAAATATCCGGTGCGTCCTGTCTCCATTTAATTATAAAGCACTTTATTGTCCGATAATCAGGCACATTAGCATGCTAGTTGTTGTCAGCTTTACCTTCATGGCAAAACGCTGCCCTAGTCTCTGTGCTTATAAACTCACCACACTGAATAATTAAATAATTTCCCTTGTGGATCAATAAAGTTTGTGTAAGTCTAATTAGGATTAGCTGGGGATGCATAATATAAGTGAGGAATAAGTTTGAACCACTGCAAACTGTTTAAAATGAACTAGCTCAAAAACTAAATCTCCCATCTCCTTTTTGCAGATGGCAGCTTTTTATTATTGTTGACTTCTTTGTTTGCCCTCCCAAAGTGATGGAAACGCTCCTCCCTGTCTGTCTCTGCGTGTCTGTCTATAAGCCCCTGTGCCTCTAAATGTTTCAGCTCTCCGCCCTTTCCTCGAATACAGAAACCCTGTCCAGGAAACTGCAGTTAAATTTTTACAACCAATGAATGCATTTAGAGTTGCTGTCTGCGCACCAACAGTGGCCCATCAGACGCCCAAAATCAATACAAGCAACTGTAAACGCAACTTTATGACCAATGGGTGTGCGATTGTGTGTGCGCCCATAAAAACACCATTTCTCTTTGTGACCCAATATCAAGGAGGGACCCGACCACAAGCAAATGAGCTAGCATAAAAGTGGTAATTCCCCTTTGATTTCCTTAGAGCATTGTAAAGGCACTTTCATTATTGGAAAGACATGAAATTTCGCCTCTAATCTCCACTTATGACCGGACCGTAAGCCTATAGCGGAAAAAGCGAGAACCACTTTATGTTGAGTCCAGCTGAATGCACTAGTTTGGGAGTCCCACATGACAATAGGCTGCTTATGTGAATGCACTTTTTAGGTTTATCATGGGAAATATGTTGTCCAAATGCTGTGAGTTGTAGTTTTAGACATTACTATTTGAGACTTACAGTAAACTGTAATTATGACCCCCACCTCAAACCCTCATGTTCTTTCCCTGATATCGTGCTTTCAACGTACAATTCAGGATGTCAGCATAATTATACACAGAGGTGGGACCAAGTCATTGTTTTGCAAGACTCAAGTAAGTCTCAAGTCTTTGACCTCAAGTCTGAGGCAAGTCCAAGTGGAGTCTCGAGTCACTTCCCCATCAAGTCCAAGTTGTCTGCTTTGAGCTTCAAGTCATTTCAAGTCTTTAAACAAAAGTACTAAATATAGCTTAGATTTTAACAATTTATATGACCTTTAAGCTAAATTTTACTTAAAGTCATAGTATATTTATATATGAGTATTTATATAGTATTTTCCTTTTTAAATGTCTTGACAAGATCTTCATGTAAATCATTGCGGTCAGAATAGAAAGAATTGAGATCTAAAAATGCAGTTATTTTTTCATGTAGTCTGCACTGAAATGAAAGGATCATGTTCTATGTAGTTCCCTTTGTTGTACTGTATTGTACTGTATATTACTGTAGTACATTTGAGGATATGACATCACAGTACTTCAGCTGCATCCAAAGTGACAAACAGAGAAGTGGGAGGGACATGTTCCAGTTTGTTCCTGTAAAATTAAGCACCGCATGTATCAACTGTTAAGAGAAAAGTATTTTCTAAAACATGTATTTTTTTAGGAGAAGCATCAAGTCTTCTCAAGTCACAGAGTTGAGTCCCAAGTGTTAGTACCTCTTATTATACAGGGCATAATACAATAGTTTAATCTGATAAGTACTATGAGAGTATGTGAGGAATGGTGATTTAATTATTATTTTATACATGAATTCATATATTGCTCTTTTGTTAGGACAGTGTTACCAATCATGAATCATGAATCATACAATCTCGATATTTCTTCTCATCCTTTGTGCTTGCTTGTAATACTTGGGGTCAAATTAAGGGCAAATACACCCAGACTCATTTTGACATAAACAGAGGAAATAAGAATGTACTTAACCTTGAAAAACAGCTGTAGAAAGTAGAATTGAAAACATAAATTACAAATGATTGAGAGATATTAATTAATTAGTTGTTAATAGGGATGTAACAATATCCAAATCTCATGGTACGATATTATCTCGATATGAATCTATGAATGTATTGCAATATTTTGAAGAAGCTGATATAATTGTAGATAGGACACTTTTTTGCTCTTAAAATACCTTGACAAGATTTTGGTGTGAATTATTACCATTATAATCCCAAGAATTCAAGTTAAAAACATATTTCTTCATGTTGTCTGCAATGAAATGAATCATGGGATATGTAGTTCCCTATGTTTTTAAACTGTTGCTGCTATAAAACAATGTATTTAAGCAAAGGAACTTGTAATTTGATATATTTTGACAGCCCACGATATTATTGTGAGACTTTTGACGATACAATATCACAATATTTCGGTTATTGTTACATCCCTTGCTGTTAATTATCCAAATTATGTAGGAGTGATATATTAAGCAAATTTGAGCATATTTTTCATAATTCATAATTTATAAGACAATTTTAGACAAAATGTTTTAAATTTTAAGTTGTCTGCCCTATAGATCCAATGCAAAGACTTTTTCTGTTATTTTCTGCAAATTATTTTTAATTGCTTCACATATATTTTAAATAGATCTGCTTCAGTTAGGACCAAAGCTCTCTCCACAACACTAAAACGCTACTGTTGGTACATCTTTCCTTATCCACACTGAGCATCTAGGATTGAGCCTTTCCCTAGGGGTTTCTTGACACCATTTAGAGATCTGAATTGCTCATTTTAACTTTTAAGTACCTCCTATCTATGCTTTCCACTACTCCCTCCTGCATCTTCAACTTTTAAACAAGCAGAAATAACAGCGTTAGCATGGTCGTTAACAAAATTTAGCCCTGTATGTCTGAATGCTCCATCACCTGCTACCTGTCAGCCTCTGGGGAATTCTCATTTGTTTGAATTGAACCAAGAGACACCGCATTTCACTAACTAACCCACACCTGCTGTTTTCGTTGCAGTACTCGTTTGGCACAGACCCGGTGAGCGGTTTGTTGGATCCACTGGAAGAACAACTTTTGAAGACGACTCATACTTACTGTGGAAAATCTCACCCGCTTTTCACCAAGAGACTAGTGCACAGCCTGGCAAACATCAACAACATGGCAGTGGGAGGATAATTATGAACTCCAAATGAAAACACAAGAAGCAGCTAAAGGATTTCATTTGGCGCTGCGGTGGCTTAACAATACTAAAATGTTGAGACTACGAAAAAGGCTTCGTACCTTTTTCAATTTGAAGACACACTTTTATTTCAAAACAGTAATAGCTTCTTTTAAAGGTGCACTATGTAACTTTTCTCGGGTCTGCAACCTGATTGTCTGTATCCATGGAGACAAGCAGATGACACTACAAGGCATAGTTACAGGTTAGATCTGTGGAAAGGTAACCCCGCTTACAGTAAGAATGCATGTTTTTCAATGTTTTTTTAAGCATAAACACAACCGTGATTGTGTAAATGCAAGATAATGAGTCTAATGCCATGCTGTGGAACATTCGAGACAAAACTGTAACATCGGCATGGAAACAAGCAGTTGGTGGAGCCTCTATCAGAAAAGTTACACAGTGCATATAATGTCTTTTATAAGTTCTGATTTAAAAAAAAAAAAAAAAACATGTCCGTGCTAAAACTACTCAGGCGTAACTCCAACTTTGTGTTATTCATGTAATTTCTTTTACCTGCTCAAATTTTATTAGTTTTAGCATTCATCTGGGCATTTTTTCTGTTTGTTTGTTTTTGTTTTTAATTTTTTTGGACAACTTTACACTGGTTTGAAATTGAAATTGAAACATCTCTGCAAATTTAAATGTATGACTCAGAATAGTAGGTGTTTTTTTTTTTTTTTTTTTTTTTTTCTCCTCTTCCCCTCCTTTGGTACTGACTATTGAACTATAGTTTGTAGTTAATATTGTTTTGGAAGAGTATATCTTGTCTTTCCATATTGGAGAATTGTATATTATGTGTATTTTTATGTTTGAAATGCTCTTTTATGTTAAGAGAAAAACATAAACTGGAAATAGTCTTTCTGCACTGCAGGGTATGAAAACGTATGCACTGGTCCACTTTCATTACCTGATCATAGCCATTTCAAACTGGACACCATAAAAGTCTGTATTTTATTCTCTATACACATTTACTATTGTATGGTATCTCTTTGCTGATGGTTTGATTTTAGAAAATTCAGAAAACTCCAGACAAATGTGAATAACCTTCGTGTTCTTATGCCAAAGTCAATTTCACTTTTTGCACTGCTTTTACCGCTGTTAACTGTAAGCTAATGTCTCTGTGATTCTATTACAAGGGCATCCTTTGAAGCAATTAATTTTGTAAAAATGATTTTTACACAATTTTTATATTAAAATTTGTTTTTTATGTAACATATGTGTTTATCTATTTTGATTGGAGAGTAATGCCACCTTATCTTAATTTATTCATATACCCGCTGTATACAAAATACTCTGTCCCTGCCTGAGAGCATTGATTGAGTTGAATTTGATGATTTGACACACGACCGCTGTAGCCGTGCAGTGGCCAGAGTACTTAGATGAGAATACAGCGCTCGCACATGGACACACAAACACACAAACACAGGACAATAGCGCGCATCTCCCCTGCAGCCTGCCAGGTAATTGCAGTCTATGGGGGACAGGTGCTTCAACAATGGAACGCCAGTGTCCAAGCAGGCTCCATTCAGTGCCACTGTAATTACATAATTGAAAAGCTACCAGCCTGGATGTGTGTGTGTGTGAGTGTGTGTGTGTATGCAGAAGGTAGTGCTGAAAAAAAACATGAAGATAAGGGGTTTTATAATACAATGAAGCCTTAATCTACTGCGCACACTCCCATTGGCACTTATAGAGGAATATATTCTTGCGTGTTCAATCCATAACATTTTGAATATGCTTACAGACAAATCCATGGATGGGGGAATCGGATCACTCTTGGGGGTAAACACTGGAGGCGTGTAGGAGGGCTGGAGGGACGGAGAGAGCGGTAATGGGAAATCTATTGTCAGACGGAGAGGAGTCTGCGTGAGAGGAGAGGAGAAGGGTCAGGCTATACCCAGATATAAAAGCGAGGGTCACTCTCATTTTAGATGTTTGGCCAGTATTCACGCTTCAGCTTTGAGTTTCATATCTATTGAAAAGATGGAAAAGATTGGTTTGCTCAATTTGTGGAGTTTAAAATGAATGACTACTGAATGACTAATTCATGCCTTCCCAGTCCAGTTCAGAACAGCCAATCGTCTGCTCCCAGTTTGCAGTAATTTGAGTATTGTCATGTTTCATTCTCACTTTCTTTGATCTTAGGACTTTACCATTTTGGTAGATATGCTCGCAGACTTTGTTCTATATTTTTGTGTTACACGTTTCATTTTAAAATAGCTTTCTGTTCATGTTTTTATACTGATGAACAAAACTATTGGAGGAGGCCTGTTCACATCCATGGATATGCAAAGAAAGACCTCTGTCCTGAATAATTGCCTAGGGATTTCAAGACTCATAAGATAATTATCAATGATACGTGATTATTCTAGTCACATTATATTCTATGAACTAAAAAGTAATAATTGTGATATTTCTATGAACAAAATAAAGTCAATTTAAACCAAAAGGCGTACCTATAGGTAAAATGATGTTTATGTCTCTATAACTTTACTTTATAGATTAAATGGGCTGATTTAACTAACCTGCTCACCTACTAAAGGAATGGACATGATCTATTAAACAATATGAATGAAAGAGATGAATTTTTACTTGCCGTATCTTCTAAATTGTTAAAATATCTTTGAAGAGCATCTGATGGTAGTGTATATTTCCAAACCCAGAAACATTTTGTTTTTAAGGATTTTACAGTTTGGTTATGATGTTGGTAAATTAATAATTGTGAAATTGTGAACACAGAAATTTGATATTGTGACAGCTACATGATATATTCTTGTTTGTTTGTTCCTGTGTTTTGTTGCATACAATACAATACTGCCTGCAATACTCTCTTCCAATGTCACTAATTAGAATTCAGATGCATAGCTTTGCTCTTTTTCAAACAGGCCATAAATATCATAAAGATAAAAACAGTATCCTATTCACAGTGAATACAGCAGGCATGTGTTGAGCTATCCTTGAACCTCCTCTGAACACTTTTATTTTGCAGTATTGTTGCCTGAAGCATCTCCGTACCTCACAGAAACTGAAAAAGAGGAGGATTCCCGTTGTCCTTGTTCACCCGTCCCGCAGTCTGGTCTGGGCTCTCCTGTGGTCTCCTGCACAAAGACCAGGCTCATGTCCCAAGGCTAGACTCTGTAATGCTCTGTTGCACCTGAAATGTTTGGAGGGGAGAGAGATCTGCGGGATTCTGTTTCAAAACACTTTCCACGAACAGCACAGCCATAAAATGAGTTTGAAAGCAGCAGGTATTTTGTGTCAGGAGAGATGTCTTCTCTTCTCAGGAAAATGTGTATAATATTCATGCATTCCAATCATTTACTCCCCATGCTATGTGGTGGTAAACTACTTCTGAAGTCATAGCCACCTGGGGTCAAGTGATGGAAGTGAGGCTGATAATCTACACCATTGGCTCCTCGATCACCAACCCTAACTCACACACCACAGGCACAGAGCATAAGCAAGATTTGAAGTGTCTAAGAACACTAAGAGAAACTGGTTTTGGTAAACAGAATGACATTAATTGTATTTTCACTGCAAAAAGCTCTTCATTTAATATATTTCAGTTACTCAGTATTCATTAATTCTGGCATTTGCACTATGAAATAAAATTACAATGTACAGGAAAAACATGAATTAAAATATGACAGCACTTGACTGCCTTCTATTGTCTTTGCAACCACAACCAATACTAATGCATTCACAGGAAAGGAAAGGTGCATGAACTGTCTTGGCAAAAGAGAAAAATTAGCAAAATCAACCTTACAATCTTTCTTATATAGTGCTTTTCCAGAATCTCAAAGTTGTTTGACAATTGTGTGCACTATTCATTTACTCCACGCTACTCCACGTGATAAGCTACTGTAGACACAGCTGCCCTGGGGTAAACTGACGGAAACAAAGTTGCCAGTCGGTTTCACTTCGTAGAAACCATCTGACCTTGCAGCGTTAGAATTTGTTCACTAGATGGTAGGAGGATGCTTTCTTTCCAATCGCTGCTATTTTGTCGTAGAGTATGTAATGCGCCGCTCACGGGGCTACCTGGTATAAACTTAGGAAGAAGGGGAATAACATCTTTCCCCTTGATAAAATTCACTGAACATTCTCTTTGTTCTGGCTTAAAATCCTCAATCTCAGGAATTGTTACCAGCACAGAATGTATGGCTCTTTGCTGTTTGGCTGATGCCCGGACTCGCACTTCCAGGGTTTTTGCAAACCGTCTACTGTAGTCTGATTCCTGACCCAGTCACTGTAGAGTAATGAAATTGAGCAGAGGCACTAGGTGGCACCAGCCTGACTATGTGCTTTGCTTAAGGGCACAACAAAAACATAGTCACTGGTGCCCCACTGTGGCACTTGGTATTCTCTGAAGTCTCCCATCCAAGTATTAGCCAGGCCCAACCTTTTGAGGTGAGACGAGATCAGGCTTCGACAAGAGGGTTGGCCATAACCTTTTGTGTCCCTGTCCTGGTTTGAACCCAGTTTAGTCTGGACATAAACTTGTTTTTGGTCCTGTTCTTGTCCGAGTTTAGTCCAAGTCTTGTCCAGGTTTAGCTGTGGGTTTAGTCCTGATTGTGATGGAATTGTGGGGTGTTTGCAAGTGTGAACACATAAAACATTTACATCATAAAATAAAGCCTTTGGAACCAAGACCTTTCAGAGTATATATATATATATATATATATATATATATATATATATATATATATATATATATATATATATATATATATATATATATATATATATATATAGTCACAGATATGGAGCAGAATGTGCCTTTCATTTGATAAGTGTATGTAAAAGAGGATACTTTCTACTGCCTATATTAAAAAAAGAAAAGAAAAAAGTCAAAGAAAAGTCAAAACGTTATTCTGTAAAATGTGTTTTCTTTTTAAGTATATGAATACAAGTTAGATGTAATAGAAAAGGTATACGCTCAAAGGACTCTAAAGGGTACTGCCTAGTGAAAGTAATCTTTGAGATGGCTTTTCAAAACAAACCCAGACTTGCACATACTCGGTGGCATTTACACTGTAGTGCTTCACAAACACTGTGAGACTGTGCTGTGAAGTAAATAAACCCATCTGCTAACCTGCTCCTCTCTCTCTATCTGCAGCCAAAGATGTCAGATTCCATCTCACTGGGCATCAAACAATCTTCACAGTAGTGCATGGATAAATAAGACAGACACTGGCATGGCATCTGGTTTACATCAAGACCTCTGCTCCTGCTCCTCCTCTTCTCATATAGTGCAGTGATATGTAGACCTTATTACTACATGCAAATTCCCCCCCTGCTGGGCTGTGTATCTTTGACGCATATCTGGAAAAATCACATAGTAGTAGCAGTATGGATGCTGTCGAGTAGAAGAGTGCAGGGGCTTTCTCTAGTACATTAAACCAGGGTATAATGGTGTGTGTCCAAACATGTGTGCATAATGTATCATATAGTGTGTGCATTAAGGGGGGAGCTGTCAAATTAATGTCATCTCAACACAGAAGAGCAACCTCTGCATTAGATCAAAGCTACACTTGAAATAAATGACTGTGTGTAAGCACAGGCTCTGCACAAGACCAAAACATAGACCAGATGAGGTGTGGTAAAGGCAAATGTGTCCGGGGAAATCATCGCCATTGGGCTATAAATCGGGGTTAATGGCTATCATGTTATTCTATGGACATCAAAATACAGTTGTAAAGTGGAAGTGTTTTTAAAGGGCCTGTATTATGTTATTTTCTGATCTGTGTTATTTTATGTTGTTTCATCATCTAAAACATGCCTGGAGTTGTGTTTTGTGTCATTCACACATTACAGATACTGCATAATAGGAAAGGAAGCATATATAATAATAGCATAGGAACAGAGCATTTTCAGTATTGTAATAATGCAGTAGTACTCAAACATGTATGAATGAAACAAAACTCCTGGTATGTTTGTTTTTCACTATTTGTGACAGTGACTCAGGTGAGAAAGGTGAGTTCAAAAAGAAGGCTGACTCCCCATTTATGAGGTAAATATGTTGAAATAAATGTTTATTTTATCATCCAGTCAGAAAGCAGAATGAACCTCACATGAGTCTCTCAAATTAAGCTGGTTTAACCCTAAAATTTCTCTCTCTGATCTGAATTGTCACTACAGAACCTGCAGCTAATCATGAATGGGTGCTGTCCATATACAGAAACAGAGGAAAACTTGTATGTGTCCTCTAT